AATGAATATACTCAACACATATTTGCATAGTCTATTCTTTTTATTTTTATAGAATTTACTCTATATTTTTTCACATGTTATATCCTTTATATTTTTATAAAATTTATTCTTTATATTTTTACATATATATTGACTTTTTAAACTTACGAATAATTTTTCATGTTGATTTTATTTAAAATTTAATTATAAACTTAAAATATTATTATTTTCTTCAACCTCTAAATATCTTTTAATATAATATATATTTAAATATTTTTTAATATAATATATATTTAGTAATGTTTGGGATAGTGGGTCAATAACTACTCCTCTACAATTAATTGATAGTTTTCAATCATCACCTTCTATTCCAGTTATCGTTATCCTCGGTATCCCATGTTTAGTTTTGAGAGTGTGGGGTGATGTACCTATCAAAAGCACTCTCACACTCAAGTTAGTTGAATTTCATAATAAATGTAATCACCTTCCTCCTTACCTTACCTTTGTATTTATAGGTTTTGGAGTGAGTTTTAATTAGGGTTAACCCAATTAAGGCCCAAGAGTTCATAAGTATGTTTTGTCTTGTTAATCATGTAAGGTTTTATGAAGAGCAATTTACATTGTATTTATCGATCGCGTCATCCTCGAAACGTATACCGACTATAATGTATATGGACCCCTCCAAGTTTGTTTCGAAAGATGTTCGGTTTCGACGAGTTGGCCAGTTAGTCAACGTAGGAGAATACATTAACCGATCGATCATACAGTATAACTGAATTGATTTTTTTTTAACAAATATAAGAACCAAATAAAACATAACACTGATATTAACACATGTTAATCACCTTGACACATGATATTGTTATTGTCACGTGACACAATATTAACTTAACACGTGACTTTTTTTCTTAAATTAAGAAAAATTAAAAATAAATAAATAATTTTTTTTTTAAATATTTAAAAATATTAAAATAACTATGAAGTAACACGGAAAAATAGATTAACGAAAATCGATTCTTATTAAAAAAAATATTAAGACAAAATTGACAAAATCGAATGAAAATAAAGACTAAATTGGTATTATAACTTTTTTATTTTTTATTAATTTTAATCCAATTTAATTTGATCTCTATGAAGTTGTAGTATGTTCCATTAACAGAGTTATAGATTTAGAGTTTTCTTATTAAAATTTGTAATTATAAAATATTCTCTTTTTAATTTTAAAGCATGCTTTCTTTTAAATAGAAAAAATTGTTTAAATATTTAAATTGTTAGATAATTTAATATTTAAAAATACATTTTGTTAATATAACAATAAAATAAAAATATAATTGTTATATTACTATTATTTTTATTAATATTAGTGAAAATAAATGCGGTAAATTAATATGTACATTAATTTTATATTTAATGTCCTCTTTAATATATATTTATTTATGTTTATCTTGTTTTGTTAAAATTTGATTTTTGTTTGATATAATTAAATCTAAAATGAAAAGGAGGTGATAATTAAGCTGTGCTTGGATTTGAAGATGGATTTAAGAGTGTGAATTTGAAGAAAAAAAAGGAAGTGAAGATAAGAAATAAATATATTTGAGATGAAAAGTTTGTGAAAATTAAGGATAACTATGGATTGAATTTTTAAAGATCCAATCTAAATTCAATATAGATTAAGAAATTTGGAGTAAATTGTGGATTCAAATATGAATTTGTTGCAAAACAACTAGTTTGTTTTTTTTTCTAAAAAAAATCCAAAATATTTCGATCGATATTTAAGTCCATATCCATTTCTAATTTATATTTTTAATGAAAATTAATTTTTTTATAAATCTAATTTTAATTTTAAATCTATATTTTAAAAATAAAATAACTACTTCATATAATACATAAATTAATAAAAAGTTAAATAATATATAAAATATAATAACATTAATGACATTAAAGATTAATAATAAATTATATAAATTCTTAACATTTAAAGAAAAAACTAACAATGGATTAATGACTAATAACATCGATTGAAACAGCGTTTTCAATTCCTAGATTTTAATAAATCCAATTCTAAATACTGTACAGATTCCGAAATCTAGTGCTTTCAATATGCATCTTGAATTGGACATGTTAATCTTAAAATAGTAGAAGCTGCTTAATAACTACTGCAACAGACTTAATATCAGTAAATGCCAAACAATTCTTATGTAAACAATTTTTTTAACAATTTTTTAATAATAAATTATTTATTATTATTTTATTAATTCTTATATTTAAAACGAATCAATTATAAATTATTATATACTGTGTCAAAAAATTATTAAAAAAAATCGTTAAAAAAACATTTTTCATTCATATATGAGAGTTCACTACACATCATCAAATAACAACAATATTAATCTCCATATCAAAAGCCCATTCACAACAAATGTAAAGTAAGAATTTGATCATTGAAAAAGGAGCAACAATTATATATTTCTAACATTAAGCTAATAGAAACATAGGAGCCACCTAAAAGCAATTATATATGAAAACAACAATGGACGTCCATTCATGTACTTATTGGTTACAAGAGACATGGGGCTTGAGCTTTAACTTAAAGAAATTATGTTGTAATCAACATCTTCTTGAGAAACCAACTCTAAGAAATGAAAAAGTTATCATTATTTAATACATATTTAATTGTAATATTATTACATAATTGAAACATTAACCTACTTTGGTAACACATTGAAGCTTTTTAAAATCATAGTCTAACAATGATGTTAAATGTATGTCTTTTAAAAACTACAATATGGATCAAACACTGTTTCTCTTGTGCTAAATGCAGATTCATATGCTATCATGGAAACATGCATAGCTAATAATTCTTGTGCTATGTTTGAAAGGATTCAAAATCTACATTAATTAATTTTCCACCAATCAAGAATGTTCAAAATCCAACTAGAAAATCCAACGTTTTGCTCAATCGAAATCCAACAAAAAAAGAGAGAGATTAAAATTAGAAAAGGAAACGAAAGATACATTTGCATTACGAATTAGATTTATCTTGGATCAATTATAAAGAAAGAAGAGAGAAAAATAATTTATGATTTATTGTATTGAAATTTTAAATTAGAAAATGAGTTTCAGATTTTGGTATTGGAAAGAAAATGATGGTTTCGATTCAGATTTCTTTGGATATGAGCATATCCAAATAAAAAATTTGGATTTTTCAGATTTTAAATTCCATATAAATAAAATAGGAAAATCTGGTTTAGAGAAATTATGCAATAAGGATCACAACTAAAAAACAAAATTTAGAAAATGGGTATTTTGTCCACCTTAGTGAAAGCTGTGAGTAATATGATAGATTTGATGGATTAAAAGAATAATTTAATAGATGAAATTGTAAGATAAAAATATATTAAAACAAATTAATTATTTTATTTATTCTTTTAATTATAATAATAATAATAAAATGTATTTATAAATATTTATTATTATTCCTATATATTTGTATTCTTTAATTATTTATTATATTATATATTGTTATTAGAAAGAGATAATATGAAATTTATAATAACTACCTTTCTTTGCATCCTAGCGAAGAAATTCTGAAACATAATTCTTTCTCGTTTTCTGTGATTTTATGCATCAAACTTTATAAAACCATTGTTTTTCTTCGCTCCGTTTGCAGAAACAAAGAGAGGAAAAATAAATGAGAGGTAAGATATAAGAAAAAATGTGAAATAATTTTACATATAGTAACAAGTATATTGAAAAGTAAAATATGTATATAACCGAAAGAAAAATATTTTTATATTTAGTTAAAAATTAATATTATCTAATAATTTTAGTTGAATTGAGTTTAATTTCAGATTTAACATAGTAGAATTCTTACCCAACACGTAAGAGAATATGTTAGGCGTTGGATTATCTTTTAACTCAACTGCAAAGAAAACTGAAATCAATTTATGTGAGTTGAATTAAGTTCTAAGAGACAATATACACCCATATTTATAGTGGATAAATAATCACTTTAAATATAAATAAAATTTTAAAAAATAAATATTAGAAGACAAATTTTAAGTTTCTGAATGTGCCTGCACCTTTAATATCAATTTGTTTAAACAAATAAATAATATTGTGATGATATTTTTTTATTAGTTTTTTCAAATATTTAACCGATCGTGTATAAATTTAGTAACATGGGATTATTCTCACTTAAACAATGATGTTGAATTCATGTCCTAAGCATTCAGGACATTAAATATTTGAAAGATTTTTTTCTTCACATGGTGATCTCATTCATCAACGTATGCAACACTGTATGGCTATTTATTCTCTTTATTAAATCATTTAGTTAAAGTTTCTCTTTTTTTTTTCTTTAATTCTCTTAGTTTCAAAGTTTGTTTTATAAGTTAGTGCATAGACAGCATTTCTATGTTAATAACTTAAATTAAAAAAAAAAAAAAAAATAAATAAAAAAAATAATTAAAAACACACACACACTAAGACTAAATTAAATGATTTTAAGTATAAAGATTAAAGATAAATTTCGTACTATTTTATTTAAAGACTTTATGAGACCGACATATCTACCAAATGTACAAGAACACCATTGTAATTGGTCTCTGCCAAATTTATCCAACCATTTGTACGTCCATATCAAGTGAATCAACCATCATTATTGGAGAATTTTCGAAGGAATGAGAGAAATTTGCACTTCCAAACTAGAAAGGGAAAAAGGGGGCATTGAAAAAAGAACTTCTTTTCTTTTGAAAAACCTTGTTTCCATTCTCACTGTGTCAAGTTTCTTGATTTGAAGTATGACAAAAGAAAAAAGAAAACAAAGTTTCTTGATTAAGGAATTTCCTTTCCCTTTCAAACACGACCGTTGAAGTGTTATGTTCACTCTCACAGCATGTTGTTCTGATCTGTAGCGGTAGCTTTAAGAAAGGGAAACTTAAACAGAAACTCCAAGTGTAAGATAGTGATATATAGCAACAAAAATGTGCAGGTTCATAACAACCATTAGGTGAGACATAACTGGAACCACAAGAGAATTCCCTCGAAGGTTCTTCTACAATATTATACATGCAATGCCTTAGCATTGTTCCTCTCAACAACTCTTGATCTATAAAACTTTTCTCACTCATAGTTTCTTGGAGCCAATTGTAGCAGTTCATAACATCAAACACATATTCAGACAATGAGGCTTGTCATTTCAACTTTCTGTGTTCTTGTGTTATTCTCTTGTGCTGGTCAGATACAAGTTTCACTATATGTTGATTTTGTTTCACTAACACATGAATATTCAACTAATGTTATAACTTTTTGCTGTCTCAGTTGCTTATGATCCTTTGGATCCAAACGGAAACATAACAATCAAATGGGATATCATGTCTTGGACACCAGATGGCTATGTGGTAACACAATCTGCATTTCTACTTGTTCTATAATTAAGCGTGTTTGTTTGCAAAATGGATTTCCATGCAATGGAGTTATACTTAATGCTTTCATTTTCTTAAAAACAAGTTTATAAGAAAACTCAGTATAATGTTTTGATTTAGCTTAAGAATTAGTTAAAGTTGCTTTAACAAATTGCTGCAGTAAAATGCATGAACGAAACCAGCCTAAGTATTAAACAGAAAAGTGCCAAAATAAAATATGTAACTGTTAGTTGTTTAATCAAATGCTTGAGTCATGCAATGAATTCACCTGATTTATGGCTATTGCATTTTCTTTCAGGCAACTGTAACAGTCCACAATTTCCAAATGTTTCGGCACATCATGAATCCTGGATGGACCTTGGGATGGACATGGGCCAAGAGAGAAGTGATTTGGTCCATGATAGGAGCTCAAGCCACAGAGCAAGGAGATTGTTCTAAGTTCAAAGGCAACATACCTCATTGCTGCAAGAAAACTCCCACAGTTGTAGATCTACTCCCTGGTGTTCCTTACAACCAGCAATTCACAAACTGCTGCAAGGGTGGAGTGGTGGCTGCATGGGGCCAAGATCCTTCACAAGCTATCTCATCCTTCCAAATTAGTGTAGGCCAAGCTGGTACCACAAACAAGACAGTGAAACTTCCCAAGAATTTCACTCTCTTGGCTCCTGGACCAGGCTATTCCTGTGGCCCTGCCAAGATTGTTCCTTCCACCACTTTCCTTACCTCTGACAAGCGCCGCAAGACTCAAGCACTAAGTATGATCTCTAACCTCACAATTTCAGTTTGAACACCAATTTCACCATTAAAAACTCTCAAAAATCTCATTTGCTTTTTCTTATGCAGTGACATGGAATGTTACCTGCACATACTCACAGTTCCTGGCAAGAAAGAATCCAAGTTGTTGTGTATCTTTGTCTTCCTTCTATAATGAAACTATCACCCCTTGTCCCTCTTGTGCCTGTGGCTGCCACAACAAGAAGAATTGTGTCAAGTAAGATTTCTGTAAACGTTAAAATAGTAAAAGGGTCATGCACAATCTCAAGAAATCTGTTAATATGTGTTATGTAAATTAATAGAGAATTTCCAATAACTTCTTATCACTGTTGGTGTGGTATGCAGGCGTGACTCCAAAATTCTCAGCATGGTGGGTCTCCACACTCCCAAGAAAGACAATGAACCATTGTTGCGGTGCACTCATCACATGTGTCCAATCAGGGTTCACTGGCATGTCAAGGTTAACTATAAGGACTATTGGAGAGTCAAGATTGCCATTACAAACTTCAATTACAGGATGAATCACTCTCTCTGGTCTCTTGCTGTTCAGCATCCAAATCTTAATAATCTCACCCAAGTTTTCAGTTTTAATTACAAGCCTCTTCTTCCCTATGGTTCAATAAGTGAGTGCAAGCAAATCAATCTTCTCGAGTTTCTAGAATAATTCCATAACTTTAAGAATGAGTTTTCAAGCATGTTGTTATTGTGCATGCAGATGACACTGGCATGTTCTATGGCATGAAATACTTCAATGATCTTCTAATGGAAGCTGGACCAACTGGGAATGTTCAATCAGAGTTGCTTCTTCAGAAGGACAAGGATACATTCACATTCAAGCAGGGGTGGGCTTTTCCTCGCAAGATCTACTTTAATGGCGATGAGTGCATGATGCCTCCACCTGACACCTACCCATTTCTACCTAACTCAGCACCTCCAAGCCTAATTACCTTCCCACCATCTATTTTCTTGCTGCTTTTCTTTTTAGCAGCGTGGTGAACAACTGCATAGTGTGTCAGAATTTTTGTGAAAATTTTGAAAATACCTTCTCCATGATAACGTGACAATAGGCATGAATACTCAAATTCTTTGGAAACACCTAGCCAATCTCATGGCTGTGTTTTTCTGACATGAGCAACAGGGATGCTGAATGTAAATCTCAACAGTGATTTTGTCCTAATCATAGATTCCTGATGCTGTCACAGCAATGCCATAATGAATAATACATACGTCTTCTAGTCTTTCTTTGGACTACATTTACAGCATGTTTGGATGAGCGCGTTGAGTTTTAGTTAAAATTAAGTTCAAAGAAATACAATTCAAGTTTAGAAGTTTATCATTAAAACAACAGTCATTTTGGAACCAAGCATGAAAATACTCTCATTAAATAATTTAAATGTAGTTAAAATTTAGTTATACTAATAAATCTACAAAAAATAATTTATTTATAGTTATATTTGAGATGGAAAGAAGATTGAATATTTACAATCATGTTTACTAGTGTGTTTAAACGATCTTACCTGAATAAAAACACGCAGGAACATGTATAAAAAATAAATACATGTACCAAACACATACTAAATGAATCATCACCTCCCAAAACATACAATGATGATTCCAATGTGGCTGCAATGAATAAGCAGTGATCATTTCTAGTACAGACTTGCGTTTATGAATTATTCCATTTACTGTGTACCTTTAAATATTTCTTATACTTACAGAATCAACTATGGAGCAAAAATGAATAAACACATCATTACACTAAAACAAATAGAAATAACAATGTAGTAGCCAATTCAATCGCCCCATATGCTGGAACTTAGAAACAAATCAAGGGGGCAACAAAGCTACTAATGAAATTTTTCTGTGGATGTCTTACTCCAGCTTGGTTCAAATCCCAAATTGGTATCCCAAAAATGAGTCAAAACTTGTCACATCGAAGAGTTGTTCATGACAGATTTGAGGGTGGCATGCATAGGAACTTTAAGCGTATGCATGCAATACTAAGGCCACCAAAGAGGTCATCATCAAAACAAGCAGGGAAACCTCTTGCCTGGAACCAGCATTAGGTAACCATGGATAAGCATCAGGTGGTGGCATCACACAAACGTCACCATTGAAATAGACTCTCCGAGGGAAGGCCCAACCCTTGTCAAAAGTGAAAGTTGATTTATCCTTTTTGAATAGTAGTTCAGACTGTGCATTACCATCAGAACCAGCTTGCATGAGAAAATCATTGTAGAACTTAACTCCCCACAACATTGCGGTATCATCTGTTAAAAGCAACACAGATAAATTATTTTTGTTCCTCCACAAAAAATACATGCTCTATGGTGAAAACAAGAATTGTTGCTCTTGCAGTAATTATCACCAGAATGTTTAGAAAAGTCACTTTCAAGTATGTGTGCATTCCAAAGGTTGGTCAAATTTTAAAAAAATACATATTGAAAGAAAAATATATTTGAAAAATTTAAAACTGTAATGAATGAATGCGGAGGTAGAATCTTTTTGAAAATTTTGAAATTATAAACAAGAAATATATATATATATATATGATTCATAAAGCAGTTTATGTCATTCTTAAGATGGAGCATGGAAAAAAATTGAGTCACTTTAAAATATGTAGGAGTGGATCAGCCAGAGTTTGGAGAATAAAATGAATATTTTAATGAAAAGATTAAAAAAATGAGAAATTTTTTTGAGAAGAAAATAATTAACAAAAAAATTACAATCAATTAATTGCTTTGAGAGCATATGCAATTGAGATTTGAAAGCAAAAAATTTAACATAAAAAGTAAAACTGGTAGTAATTGATAAATTAAGCATTTTAGAAAGTATGCAAATAGAGTGTTAAGAAACGGTGAGGCTACATGTCTTGAAGAAGAACAAATTCAGATTACAACAGAAGATAATCTAACACTCAAGAAGTTGGACTCTTAATATATTAATAGGAAGGATAAGTAAATATACTACCCAAGAAATTTGACAACTCCTCATAATCCTAGAGTGGCTGTCTACCAACAATTGTACCAAGCCTACACTACATTCAATTTGTGTTTTGCTTTTCCACAATGTATCCTAAGAGACAATCCTGTTTGAGACACTATCAGACACTGCATTCAATTAAGTTAAATAGTTATGAGTATTTCAACGTATCTAAAGTTGTAAGTCTTTGAAAGATAACACTTACTTATTGATCCGTATGGAGTTATTGACTGGTAGTTGAAACTGAAAAGCTGGGTCAGATTGTCAAAGTTTGGATGTTGAACAACCAAGTTCCAGTCAGAATAGTTCATCCTGTAATTGAAATTAGTAACAGTGACCTTCACGCGCCAGTACTCCTTGTAGTTAAGCTTAACATGCCAGTGAACTCGGACAGGACACATATGACGAGTACATCGAACCAAAGGTGCAATACTACTTTTATCAGGTCCAGGGTTGGAAACAACTGATGCTAGATGTGGTGAATCTGGCCTGTAATGATATGAAAAAAGGACATGTGATGTTATTATACAGTTTTTGTTTGTGTTAAGAAAAAAAATCAGTGCACCAAGCATTAAAACCTACTTTACACAGTCCCCTGTTAGTGATGAGTTGCCCTGGCAGCCACATGCACATGTAGAGCAGGGAACAACAGTATTGTTATAGAAAGACGAGAGCGAGACGCAGCAAGTGGGTGTTCTCTGAGCAAGAAATTGTGAATATGTGCATGTCACGTTCCATGTCACTGTGATACATCAGAGCAATGATAAGTTCAAACTATATTGATGGATCTTGCTAATGTGAAGTAAAAACATGGAACAACTGTTAACTTAGGTTCTATTTGAATAAGCTTCTCAGTAAGAACTTAAAGTTATAGGAGAAGAAAATAAGAATTGAGTTTCCCTCATGAGAAAAAATCAACTTATGCACTTCAACTTTTGAAAAAGTTAAATGCGAGAGCTTCCATGAAAGTAAGTGTGTACAAGTTGAGTTTAGCTTATAGGAAAAAGCCAATTCAGTTTACCTTCCTTGTTTATTCTCCTACAGCGTTTATGGAAAACTTTATCTAAACATGACCTTAGACCAGTTTTAAAATATCATCAGAGTACCAGATTTTAGCACTAACAAAAACTACAACAAATAGATAATTAACTGAAAAGTGTGGAAATGAACATAAAAGTCCAGTAACTTACTGAGAGCTTGGGTCACTCTTCTTTTGTCTGGTTGTATGAATTGAGTTGGTTTCACAATTTTCGCCGGGCTACATGTGTAACCGGGGCCTGGTGCTTTCAAGGTGAAGCTTTGTGGCAGTTTGACAGTTTTGTTGGTGGTACCAGCACTACCTACACTGATTTGAAAGGCTGCAACTGCTTTGGATGGATCCTGTGCCCATGAGCTGAGTACACCACCTTTGCAGCAGTTTGCAATTTGTTGATTGTAAGGTGTTCCGGGAAGTAAATCTACAACTATGGGGTTCTTTTTACAGCAATGTGGGATGTTTCCCTTAAATCTTGAGCAATCCCCTTGTTCATTGGTCTGACCTCCCACCATGCTCCATATCACCTCCTTCTTTGCCCATGTCCATCCTAGTGACCACCCAGGTGCTGAGATATGACGGTATTTTTGGAAATTGTTCATTGTAACAACAGCCTGTCCATTCAATTGCTTCTTAGACATAACTAAATGAAAAAAAATAAGCCAAATATTCTAAATAGCTCTAGCCAATAATATAAATAAACTCGTGTTTATACTAGTTTTCATTCAATTACAGTAGTTTTACAACTTGCACAGTAAAAACTGAACACAATCTTGAATTTTCTGTGAAAATTGGATAGTAGTGTAATTTGGAATTCAAATCCTGTCATATTCCTAATTGGAACAAGTGGAATGGTAGAAAGTACAAATACACTCTTTGCTAATTGAAATTCATATGGGACCCAATAAATACAAACTGGGATCACACGATTTTAATGGATGCCATCATATGAATTTCAATCAACAGTGAAGGGTGATAGAGAACATATTGCTTTCATTTCTCAGTGAACAAAATGATTTTGCTTCTAGATCTTTTAAGCAAGATATATTATCAAAGTAAGAACTGAAATATAACATGAGATGGAACTAATGCGAACATGCAGATTCATCACAAAATATAAGCCTAACTAGAAGAGAGAAAGAGGGACAAATACCTTTATGACCATGTCTAACTGTAAATAGATTATTTGCTTCTGATATTAATAGGTGAAACTGAAAAATAATGTACTTACTACATAACCATCAGGTGTCCAACTTATAATATCCCATTTGATTGTGATATTTCCATTTGGATCAAGTGGATCATAAGCTTCTGAAAGATAAACAGTAAAACTTAAAATTTAAATTAATTTATGAAAGGGGGGACAATGTAAACAGTGAACTTCTAAATTTTCCTACATCCTCAAGCACATTAAACCAAAAAGACAGTGATGATACTCATGAAAGGTGCGATGAAAAATTGATAAAGCAAATGATCAAAGAAAGTAAACAAGCCAACATTTATACAAGCAAATAACTAGTTCATGAAATCATACTACTACACTTTACATATTCAAACACCCTGATAAAAAAACCACGTCCAATGTCATATCAATTTTTAACCAGCATCTTACAACAATACAGATAACCATAAGTTCAGCATCTTACAACAATACAGATAATCATAAGTCCAGCATCTTACAACAACCAAGATTTAGAAAAAACTAAAGAAAAAGAATTAGGAAGGAATCCAAAATCCATATTTTCCACTACAGCCATAGGCATCATCAACATGAAAAGTCACCACAAGCCAATAAAAAATCAAAATGTTCAAGAGTGTCAACAGTGTTTTTAGTTCTCATGTTCTACAAGTTCCTGGAAAACACGTCATCCTTGTTTTTCGTGCCCCATTCCTAGAACCGTAATTTTTCCTCCTTACATTGAAATACCCAAACCTTGGTCACTAAGGAACGAAACGTAGACGAAACATGCGATTTCACGACTAAAATTTGGCACTTCAAATTACAGAGACGAAAATTCAAGGTTTAAACAATCAGAAACTAAACCCAAAGACAACCCATTTCTCAGAAACTAAAAAGCTATCAACCCATTTCCAAAACTTGGACAAAGTCCATCACCATTCATCACCCAACAAAGCGCACCACCAATCTCAAACATTCATTCCAATTCAACACGCCGTGAGGACCACGTCATGTAAAAAGGAACAAACAATAAAACACAAACAATCTCGTACCCAACAGAAAAACACGACACCCCCACCAATCGAAAGCACGGAACACACGAAAAATCCAAAACTTTAACTAGAAAAAAGAGGAGCATGAGTGCAGGAACCTGTTGAAGTGAAGCACGTGCAAAAGAAAAGAAGCAAAAGCAGAATGCATGGGCAGGGTTTGAAGAAGGATCGGATCGTGGGTGTGAAGGTGAAAAGGAAAAACATTTTCCTTTGAACAAAGGGAATGTTGGGGCGTTCAGAATTTTTTGTTGGAGTGAGAGGGAAAGAGAACAGAGTGAGTAAAAAGGAACAGAGGAAGAGAGAAAGAGAGAGAGAGAAGAGTCTGTGTGGAAAAATTACGCGGCCTAAACTGACTGTTTTGTTGTGTCCAGTTGGCGAGTGTTTGTCAGAGCAAGAGATGGTGGACTATGAAATCCCACTGTAAGCACTGCCAAAACTTCTAAAAAATTCAGCCCACTTTACACTTTTCTATTTTATTTTTCATGTTTTTGAAATACATATATATGTATTTCATAATAATAATCAGATGTTTCACTATCATTATTCCTATTTACAATTTTGGAAGGAAATGGAAATAAATAAATCACAATTTATTGTTTTTTATTAAACATTAAATGAAAGAAAAAAATAATTAATGTCAACAAATGAATTTGAAATTTATGGTTAATTTCTATTTCTTTAATATTTTCAACTAAAATGTAATGTTAAATGTAACTAAAAGGTGATTATTATAAAGTTAATAAATTTAATTAATTAATTAATTAATTATATATATATATATATATATATATATATATATATATATAAAAGTATAGAAAAATATTGTCCTATCAGTAGATAACTTATTTAGATTTTGATTTTTTTTTTAATTTTAATTTAAACTTTATTCTTCCTTTTCCTGTGTTCTAAAGCCGTGGTTTAGGTCAATCGATGAGTGCTTAAATTAAAATAAAGAAAGGGTGATTTGTATACCTTAAATTTTAAATTTGATATAAAATTATAAAATTAAATAATAAAGAGTAAACTAAAGAAACACATTAAAAAGCAGTATTACAAAAATTTCTTTTATCAACCATATAATCTTAATGTTTTTGAAAATTAAAGGATGCACTCGAAATGAAATGGTAGTAATAATCATGACAAATAATTTACAAACTTAAAGTTTCGCATTCCAAATAAAGTAGCTTATGAAAAATAAAACCTGTAGAAGCTTACGACTGTGTAAATGTTTTTAATTATAGAATTAGATTATGTGAAAAATAAATAAAAGAATTAGAAGGTTACGTAAAAGTTTATTAATTTATTTCTTTAAAAACTCTTATATTAAAAAATATTATCATAAAATCATTTACTGTTCTTTTTCTTCCAAAATCTTCAATCTTCTTTCTTAAGATTCACAAAGTGAGGAATGGAACGCGCCCAGCTACCACCAGCTAAGTTAATTTATCCGAAACTAAATAAAAAAGCACTTTCACTTCTGTACTTTTTAAAACATTAAAAATTAATAAAAATAAGTAATAAAAGTGACTGTTTCCAGAATATAGTTAAAAATATGAGTAGTTAAAAATTAACATAAAAATTATAAATAGTGGAATAGATCATAACATTTGTTAGAATTCATTAGAAAGTTTTATAAGCACATTTTTAATATGAAATTGTGACAGAATATTTAAACTGACAACATTGTGTGCGAAATAACGGTCGGAAAGAAAATATATATAGGCAAAAACTTCATATCTAATTTATATATGCTTAACTTTTTAGTAATAAATAAAAAATTGTGAAAGTGCTTTTGAAAAATGGCTTTATGTGAAAAGCGATTACTTGCGTCTAACAATGTTCAAACAAGTTAGCAATGGGTCCAGACTATCAGGGAAGAGCGTTTTTGAAGTGCATGTCACTTTCATTTTTTAGACATTTCTTATTACATAAGTAATCAACAAAACTAGAAGTTTTATATTGTTTGTTTCTCTTTTTTTTTTTTACTTTGAATTAAAAATATTAACTTATTTTTTAATCTATTTATGTTTTAAAATATTTGTAAAAGTAATATTAAATAAAAAATGTTCGTGTAATTAAAATGAAAAAAAAAAGACAGAAATAGAAACACTCGAGGAAAATTTTTCTTACATATTTCTTATTTCTTCTTATTCGTTAACGTGTTTTGTTTTGTGTGGAAGGATTATACTGATGTTAGAATTTATTTTGAAATTAATTTTTATTTATAAAAAATTGAATTTATTTGACCTGTCAAGAATCTAGTGCCACGCCCGTGACTGTGACTAAATACAGTCTTTGGAGTGGTAAATGGTTACAACTGAAAGTGACGCACTTTTTTTTTAAGTCAACAGAATGAATAGATGAAGTACGACAGAGGAAACTCATAAGCACGTCATTCTATATATAAGGAAAACGTGTATATGCGAATAACTTTTAATTTTTTTATACCTATTTAACATCTAAGAAAATTTAATATATTTATTTTTATTTAAATTTTTCTAAATTAAAAAATACGAGTATACATATATCATTATTTACAGTCGTGTACTCTTAATTAGTGTTAAATCTACATCCCTTAAACAAAAAATGAATTTACAGTACTTTGAGGTAAATTTATTTTTTAATACCTCGTTCAATTTATTATAATGAGATTTATTAGTTTTATGATATTATTGTTTATAAATGTTTAATTTTACATACCATGTGTATATGGTTTAGACGGTGTTTTAATTAGAAAGTGGATATGAGGGAGATAGAGAGTGTGAATGTGAGGAGAGTGGATAGATTTGAAAAGATAGAAAAAGAATTATAGTGTTGTTTGGATTAAGAGATTTGAAGGAATGAATAAAGGGATTTGAAGAAAAAATCTTGTGAATGATATAATGGATATGATAGATTAAAAAATGTTTTAATTGATAAAAATAATTAATTACTAATTTATTTTTGTATTGAAATTTAATATAATTTAAATTTAAGTAATGGAAATATATTAAATGAATTTGAAATTGTTAATGATAATAAAATTAAAATTGCAAAAATAAAAGGACGTCAGATAACATAAGAAGCTCAGTTTGAATTCTGTAGGTCGGTTTTACTGGTCAACCTTGACAGAAGAGGAAAAGGTCATCAAACTCGACAGTAGAGGAGAAGATAGTCAAGTTCAACAATAGCAAGTATGGTCGGTAAGGTTGGTTTAGCTCAACAAACAAGCTCAATAAACTCGATTTTGCTCGGCAAACTCTGTTTTAATGGTCATTTCACTAAATACATAGAATTGATTCCATTACCAAACAAATATCAGAAGAATATATTTTATCCTTCTTGCAACTACAGAAAGCAAAAACTATAAATTCATGGAATTGATTCCACCGATGCTCATAATTGATTCCAACATCAATGGAATCGATTCCACCACTTCTAGAATCAATTCTACCACAAGCTGAACATGATTCTATCATCCTAGAATCGATTCTACCATTTCAATAGGAGTCTATAATCGATTTCACCACTTCAGTTTTTGTTCAAAATAAAGCAAGTGTGCTCTAGTCTTTTTGTTTGAATGAACATTCCACCTTTTCCAATCTTTGCAATTTTTGAGAACACTCCCTCCCTCTCTCACACAAATAGGCTCTCTTAAATTCCCTCACATGCATGGAAATAGATGCAAGAGTAGATGAAAAATCCGTCTTCACGCATTCGTTCAAACAGTCGACATATGGAATAGAAACAGAGCATTAGTGTGAGGCATGTGTTGGACTAAAAGGTTAATTTACTCTATATAAGGTTAAGTATCATCTCCATAACCATCTTCACTATTTTCATCCAATTCTTCCCTAGATGAAAATTGTACAACCACATTGGTATCAAAAGTTATGTTATTAGTGCATCTAAAATTGGGATCTTTTGTTGCTTCATCTAAGTGAACATTCTCATCATCGTTTTCAATTTGAGCTTGCTCAATCTCAAAAGCATTTACATCTCCCTCTTTAGTTATCTATGCATCATCTAACTCAATATGATCAAATAAAAGATCAACAATTTTCCTAATTTGATTATTATTGACTTTAAGTTATACATCACATAAACCAATGTAACTTTTTCTTAAGTAGAGAAATTAATTGATTGTTAGTAAATTCAATCCATTAATATATAATTACATATTCTTTAAAGAGGAGTTGATTAACATGTTAAAAACACGTTTTAACATATTAAAAGGCCAAGACACATTTGTATGATCACAATCACAATTTACATAATTCTAATTACAACTTCAATTTTTTTCACAACATTCTTCATTTTTCTTGACAAAGTCTTTATGTCCCTCATATGGATTCATCAAATAAACATTCCATTTTTTTCTTCTAGATAACAACATCACCATGAGTGATATGGTGGATAAAATGTTACAAATTACGACAATAACAATAACACCATGAACAGAGAAAAGAACATGTGTGTCAAGTCGACCAAATGATGGCGCGATGAATTGGGACAACCACGTCACAAATAACAATGTGAGTAGCAGCGAGTAGTTGAGAAAAAGAAATAACCCTAACATCGAGAATGACAAGTAGTGGAGAATAAGGAAACAAATGAAACCTTAATTATGATAAGGACTTTTTTCACACATCACATCAAATGACTATCATTGTCGTAATTTTTTTGTTAATAAAATCCTCGCTTGATCTCACCAACTTGATTGCAAGATCACGAGTTTGACCAAGTTTATGGCGAGTCTACCAGACTTGCTTAAAAAAAGAGTTTACTTCTAAGTCAACTCATGAATTTGGCAATCATAATTATATGAATAGAAATCAAAATCAAATCCTTTTTATTTCATAATCATCTCTTATATTGATATTTACGTGGATATAAATTGAAATGTAAGTCATTTTGATAATGATAAAAATTACTCTTCTAACACGGTGTACATACATGGATATAAATCAAACCCAAATTTATTTAAAACTATTTTGTAAATAATAAGCAAATAAAGTGTAAAGGGAATGATAAATTTATTTATTCATGTGCCTAATTGAAAACAACTTAAGGAAACTCAATCAAGAAAAAAAACCTTAAAAAGGAAAAAAAAATTGTAAGAAATTTTTAATTGTAATAAAATCAAAGACTACTTATATTTCAATATATTGTGATGTGATCTCCATTAAATATTTCAATATTTTGTGGACATTAGAGACGAAAGAGATAATCATGGAATGTTCATCTCTTAAAGCAAAGTCTAAAAAGATCGTACAACCTATTTTAAGCAAATGACTAAAAAAGCATGTTTATTTTGACAAAGTTGACTTACACGACCACTACTGAGAAAAAGAAGAAAAAGAAAACACAAGTATCAAGACTAC